TGACGGTGTTCCAAATGTTTTATTTGAAAGAAGTTACGAAGGCCTCAACAATGATCAAATAATAGGGTAGTCTTCTCATCTTTATATGGGATACTATCAATGGCTGAGAGGGCCTATCAATTACCTTTGAAGAGAACAAAGATTAGAGTATGTGGCAAATATAATTTATTGCATCTTGGATTTCTTCAATATATGAAGACCACTCCTTATGGAACTTGTCTTTAGAAGAGAAGATAATGTCACGGACATACACATGTAAATTAATAATTACTTATATGATTTAGATAAAAGTAGGTAAAAATAGGTTAATTCCATAATATCTTCTATAGAAGCTTCATAGACATTGCTTTACCTTTATAGATGTCTTTAATTAATTTTTTAGGTTAGAAATGTGGTCAACAAGTTGGCCATGTGCCACACATATTATTAACTTGAAGAACAAGCTTATTATGTGGCCCATACATAGAAAACTTGCCTTGTAAGTCAAGGCATGTGTCTCGCAAAGTCAACACATATTAGAGGTCTTATAGAACATCGCCATGTAGCTCCTAGTTAGATAGTATATATAGAAGCAAGAGTGAAGCCCTCTTCACTCTTATCAACTTCTTTCTTACTTCTAGTCTAGATTTAAGAGTCTCTAATTTTCTTATCTTTTGGCAATAGCCATTCCAATTTTCTTTTAATATACATATTATTTTATTACTATTTTGTCACTTTTCTTTTAACATAGATTTTTCAGGTTTATACATCTTCTTCTAGTTCATGTCCTTGATAGAAGTAAGTAGATCAAGTTTATAATTAAATTTGAGAAGTCTTACTACTACAAGTATAAAAGACGTAAAGATATTATGCTAGAGAAGTTTGAAAAACAAGATCAAAGTTTTGAATATTTTTATAATAAGTGAAGTTCTTTCTAAGGTTGGATCTTTTTCAATAGCTTAGCAAATTTACTCAAGTTGGATTCATAGATGCAGTTCTATTTGAGATTGCTCTCTCTTTATTTGCATCTTTGATAGAAAAAGATTCACAACTCCATTATAATCTAAATTCATTCTTAAAAGTCTTTATGGCCACATTTGAAGAAAGTGATTGAGGATGGGTAGTAGAGACCAAATTTATAACTTCACAACAATGATAATGTTTAGCCACCATATATGTTACAATATTCCAAAACCTTGTTTGTGACATTGTTATGTAATAACACATCCACTAGATGAAAGAAAAAAGAAATTATTTTATTATAGAAGAGCCTAATTAAAAAATTATAGTAAAAAAACATAGATAAATGATAGGAAAATAATAAAATCTATTAGTATTAAAATTGTCTTTTATGAAATTAGATTCTATTTACTTTGAAGAGCCATAAATAATTTTTTTTAAAAAATAGATTAAAAAAATAAAGAATATAAGCATATTTAAGAAATTAGAAGTTGAATTTAACAAAAAGTACCTTTAAAAGACAAGAATTAATATCGAGAAAGAATTAGTTGCCAATCAAAGTCAAAATCAAGCCATAAGGTACAAAACTAAGCTCCTATGGCAACTTTGGGATTCTTTTGCAGATTAAAGAGTGAGATTTGAAAGTAGACTTGAAAAGAGATTTTTAAAATTTAGTTTCATATCATTTAAATTAATATTGAGGTTTAGAAGAATTTTCAAAGTTAGTGATGTGCTTTGTGTGTTTAGATTTTGAGAAATAAAAATAAGTTTATAAACTTGAAGGTTTTGTGAATTTCATAGCACATTTATAAGTGAAATTTTGATAGTTTTTTTTTGTACTTGTAATGAATATGTGTGAAAATTTGAGGTCAATCAAGCAATTAAATTGAAGCATATGAAGATTTTTGTGGATTATGGTCTCAAAAATTTGAGATTTAGGGTCAATGAGTGATTCCAAGATCTAGCAATATCTGCTTATTGGATTAAAGAAAAATTTGATGAGAGAAATTAATACTTTAATATCTACATACAATCTAATTTTTGAATAATTGAATGGTTCAATAAAGAAAAAATGATGTTGAAAGATCAATATTTAAATTGGAAAAGAAAGGTGGCCAACAACCAAGAGGTTTTGAGAGCTTTGCTTACTATTGGAATGTGTAATCTTCTTCAATTTTTTTTTTGTTTATTGCTTACTTAGTTGTTATAAGATATACAAATTTTGAGTCAAAACCAATAGTTCAAATATTAGACATTGAAATTTTAATTTTCTATAGGATTGTTAAGATTTGTTTAAAATTTAGGAATTGATTAAGGATTTATTAGGATTGGTTTAGGATTTGACCTAGGATTTGATTAAGGTTCATTAGAATTTTGATTAGGATTAAATTAATATTTGGTTAGAATTTATTTAGAATTTATTTAGATTTTTTATTTTTAATATTTCTTTAGGATTTGTTATTGTTGTGGGTGTTGGTGTGTTGTTGTTTTTTTTGTTTTTTTTGAAAGTTTTTTT